GGGGTAGCCAGGTCCAGCGGTTATGGACTCTCCATAAAAATAAATTAAAAAAAATGTCATTTGGCGGTCAAAAATGTTTATTGGACACATATACATCAAATTATCAGATATTTATACAGATTTTAATAATGTGTACACATTTTGTGTAAATTTTTTGGGTTCCATACAATATTTTTAATTACGGTACAGGAAGTTCCAGCAATTTGCCTAAAGGCACGATGCCATGCATCCCACTAGTTTTCTTTTTGTTTCGCAAACATTTAGATATTTGTAAAATAATTTGGCATTCATGCGTGTCCTAAAATAAGATTTACTATACCACATGCTATATATAATAGTATTGTTCTCAATATATTTTATGATTAATGTTCCCAAATGGATCTCAGATAATTGCTATTCAGCATGTCATTCAACTAATACAGTTGTGCAAATACAGAAACACATTTCGAAGTCGATCAGTATTCAGCTTAATTTCATATAACAGATATGTTAAAATTAATTTAATTAATATTTAAAGTGGAATTCATTTAGTTTATTATTGTCTCTTTTTAACTTCCCGTAGGGTAAGTTATTGTAATCGTCCAAAAATCGAAATTGAAAATTTTACATTTACATTTCTCACGTTTTGAAGGTTTCTGATCATTAATATTTAATTATGAATAAATTGTAGTAAGTAGTTTGGTTGTGTAGTTTTATTTATACACAAAACATTATTTAAGGGGGGTCGTATGTGTTACTAGAAACTCAAATATCAACCATTGTAGTAGATTTTACTTGACCAATTGAAATACATTTACCACACTCATTGTAGCAGATTTACTATACTCAATGTAGTAGATTTACTACACCATTTGTAGTAGATTTACTCGACCAATTGAAATACATTTACCACACTCATTGTAGTAGATTTACTATACTCATTGTAGTAGATTTACTACACCATTGTAGTAGAATTACTACACCATTGTAGTAGATTTACTCGACCAATTGAAATACATTTACCACACTCATTGTAGTAGATTTACTATACTCATTGTAGTAGATTTACTACACCATTGTAGTAGAATTACTACACCATTGTAGTAGATTTACTCGACCAATTGAAATACATTTACCACACTCATTGTAGTAGATTTACTATACTCATTGTAGTAGATTTACTACACCAATGTAGTAGAATTACTACACTATTGTAGTAGATTTACTCGACCAATTGAAATACATTTACCACACTCATTGTAGTAGATTTACTATACTCATTGTAGTAGATTTACTACACCATTGTAGTAGAATTACTACACTATTGTAGTAGATTTTACTGGACCAATTAAAATACATTTACCACACTCATTGTAGTAGATTTACTATACTCATTGTAGTAGATTTACTACACCATTGTAGTAGAATTACTACACCATTGTAGTAGATTTACTCGACCAATTGAAATACATTTACCACACTCATTGTAGTAGATTTACTACACCATTGTAGTAGAATTACTACACCATTGTAGTAGTAGATTACTCGACCAATTGAAATACATTTACCACACTCATTGTAGTAGATTTACTATACTCATTGTAGTAGATTTACTACACCATTGTAGTAGAATACTACACCATTGTAGTAGATTTACTCGACCAATTGAAATACATTTACCACACTCATTGTAGTAGATTTACTACACCATTGTAGTAGAATTACTACAATTGTAGTAGATTTACTCGACCAATTGAAATACATTTACCACACTCATTGTAGTAGATTTACTATACTCATTGTAGTAGATTTACTACACCATTGTAGTAGAATTACTACACTATTGTAGTAGATTTTACTGGACCAATTAAAATACATTTACCACACTCATTGTAGTAGATTTACTATACTCATTGTAGTAGATTTACTACACCATTGTAGTAGAATTACTACACTATTGTAGTAGATTTTACTGGACCAATTAAAATACATTTACCACACTCATTGTAGTAGATTTACTATACTCATTGTAGTAGATTTACTACACCATTGTAGTAGAATTACTACACCATTGTAGTAGATTTACTCGACCAATTGAAATACATTTACCACACTCATTGTGTAGTAGATTTACTATACTCATTGTAGTAGATTTACTACACCATTGTAGTAGAATTACTACACCATTGTAGTAGATTTACTCGACCAATTGAAATACATTTACCACACTCATTGTAGTAGATTTACTATACTCATTGTAGTAGATTTACTACACCATTGTAGTAGAATTACTACACCATTGTAGTAGATTTACTCGACCAATTGAAAACATTTACCACACTCATTGTAGTAGATTTACTATACTCATTGTAGTAGATTTACTACACCATTGTAGTAGAATTACTACACTATTGTAGTAGATTTACTCGACCAATTGAAATACATTTACCACACTCATTGTAGTAGATTTACTATACTCATTGTAGTAGATTTACTCATTGTAGTAGATTTACTACACCATTGTAGTAGAATTACTACACTATTGTAGTAGATTTTACTGGACCAATTAAAATACATTTACCACACTCATTGTAGTAGATTTACTATACTCATTGTAGTAGATTTACTACACCATTGTAGTAGAATTACTACACCATTGTAGTAGATTTACTACACCATTGTAGTAGAGTTACTACACCATTGTAGTAGAGTTACTACACCATTGTAGTAGAGATTTACTCAAATATTTTTTTTTTTTATTTTAATTTTTGGTACAGGAATAACATATAAAAACAATTTAAGTAACATTTCAAGGATGGGGCGGCATTTTTGTCAGTGCCCCAGGGCGCCAAATTTCTAAATCCGGCCCTGGCCATGCGCCCCACTAGTTTATTCAATTAGTACTTAATCTCCTGATTTAAATTTGTAACCGAAATTAATTAGTAGAATCGACACGGCTCTAAACACCGGATTAACAAAGTGCTGAAACGAATAAATCACGGTACCAACATTCAAAAAATCAGAAATTCTTCTGAGCAGGCATACCAACAGCAGAGCATTCATATATGTCAAAACATTTGTCGCAACTGTCGAAACTTAACCTCAATTTCTTATTTTGTTGTTTAGTAATAATTTTTCATTCAGTCAGAAATTTGTTGCAATATTGGATTTTTGTTATGTATGGTAGATTTCAATTGAAGAACACTGGTAAACGTGAACTATTTTGTGTGCATAAATTTGCTTCATCACAAAAATGTATAATTATGTAAGCCAAATACTGCTACATTTACAATCTTTCGTATTTATTATATCAAGACTACGTGTATGATACAATATCAAAATTAATTTTTTTTACCATTTCTTATATCTGTTCCATACTAGTGTGCAATATAATTGTTGAAAACTTCAAATATTGTTGACTACAAATGATTGAATTTTAGAACACAATCTTTATTATCAGAATAAGTGCATTATTCAAATCCAGGACTGTTCCAGTTTTTAACAGTAGTTTAAACTGTAGGATGCAACATTGAATAACTGAAAACTTTTAGATCACATAATTTTGCTACTGAAACAAAGCTATTTTTTTTAAAAAAAAAGATAAAGCATAATTGTGGTAATTTTTTATTGAATGTGAATTAAATATATAGTTATTTACAATAAATAGTTTACAAGTTAAAATCTATTTACACAATGTTAATATTAATGAGTAAAGCATGGCGTGAAAGAAAATTAGAAAACAAATTGTACCACATACCAGTAGTAAACACACAACCACATACCAGTCAAACACAATTCTTCATGATACAAAATTATTATTAGTAATGTTATAATAAATAAATCAAATATTCACAATTTAAAACCTATCACATAAAATGTAATAATAAATAAATCATATTTACAATAAAAAACCTATTACCATAATGTAATAATAAATAAAAAATATATCGACAATTCAAAACGTATCACCGTAATGTAACAATTAATATCATATTTACAATTTAAAACCTATTACTGTAAAGTAACAATAAATAAATCATATTGACAATTCAAAACCTATTACCATAATATGAAAAGAAATATCATATTTACAATTTAAAACCTATTACCGTAAAGTAACAATAAATAAATCATATTGACAATTCAAAACCTATTACCATAATATGAAAGAAATATCATATTTACAATTTAAAACCTATTACCGTAAAGTAACAATAAATAAATCATATTGACAATTCAAAACCTATTACCATAATATGAAAAGAAATATCATATTTACAATTTAAAACCTATTATCGTAAAGTAACAATAAATAAATCATATTGACAATTCAAAACCTATTACCATAATATGAAAAGAAATATCATATTACAATTTAAAAACTATTACATTATTATAGATTTTATAAATCAACCAACCAGTCAATTTCATTTGACTTAATTGTCATTGAACTAATCAGTCCTATCTTTACGTTTCAAAGGTTTCTGAACATTTGGGCATATCTTAAAAAAAAAAAGATGTATAAAATACATAGGATTATAATTACCTATTTGAAAATGTTTAAAACAATTATTATAATCAAAAATCAATATTTATTGATTATGATTTTTTTTCCCTCGAATATTTAATTCCGGTGCAAAAAGTTCCAGCAATTTGCCTTAAGGTACGATGCCTTGCACCATAGTTTCTTTTCCTAATTGTTATTATATTTAAGAGAATAAAACCAGTTCCCTCTGTATGAATGTATACATACCTGTTTATGTCGTGTATGCATACACATAGAATACATTTTCCTCTTCTCTCGTAAGTCATCAACCATCTGCATTCTTCTTCTTCCCTTATATTAAAATATGCATAACATTTATTTTCTGGTGTTCCCATGACATGAGACCAAACATTGAAATATGCTGTGTGCGTCATCAGTCACAAATGTTGTTGTCTTTATCATCTCTTTTTGATACTCTCATCACTTTCGATTGTCGAAAGGACAATATAAAATATTGCAATAGATTGATTGCTTCACAATATAACTAAAATAAATAAATAATAAATCAAATTTAAATAAATTAAATAATTTAAATAGCAATTTAAGCCTTCTGTTATTTGCATTCATTCTTTGACACTCCATTTTTTTATTGTGCGAACTCCATTACTTTCTTTAAATGAGGACATTTGGTTTAGGATTGTGGTTAAATTTTTTATGCATAGTGCACTATCAACAACCTGTCCATTTTTTATGGCATTTCAATTTCGCCAGTTAGTTTTAACATAGTAGAGATCTGATCTTCTGGTTCTTTGTCAATTTCATTGTGTGATTCTTCTAAGTCTCTCAACTGTTCAGATTTTTCGTGCATCACTGCTTCCAGAACCGCACGTCTGTATCCAGTATCAATTGGAAATACTCTTACACATGCATGAATATGTGGCAAATGATGGATCTTACCCATAATCTATGCAAGTGCAAGAGTATGTATGAAGCATATCATACATGTTTCACATCGCAGTAAAATTAATGTAATAATCTAAGTAATTAAACTAAAGTTAAGAATCTAAGTGAATAAAGTAAATTAATCAATAAAAGTGATAGGGGCTGAAAATAGAATGAAACTAAAAGCTAATGAGATGAAAAAACTCGCGTCTCTTGCTGAAAAGAAAACTAACCTTATTCCCTATAGAAGCTCTGAAATCCCGCAATAAAACAACAAATATAAAATGTAAAGAAATAAAATAGCGCACAATCAACAAAAGCACAAAATGATTAGTACACGTAGCAAAAAAAACGTAATGAAAGAAAACGCGAATAAAAAATATAAAATACGAGACGACCGAGTTCACAATAAGCACGCCGAAAAAAAAATTATAGTAATGGAAGGAGTAATAATTAACAGCGAATCCAACATAAAAAAGTTGAAGCACAGTGCAAAAGATTTGACAAATCTGTAATGTGTTGCAGCTAACTTCAGCCAGCTTTCTCAGCACTTTGTTATCCGGTGTAGAAAACTCTAAGTAGAATCGATTTCGAACAAACGAATATCGATATCGATATATCGTATTCGATAAATAATTCACATCACATTGTGTTGTAGCAACAAATGACAGGAGTAGCGATTGACGCATTCAACATTTTGGCCATGAAAATGTGAATTAAGTCAAATCATATTTAATGATCTCGTCTCTAATTATTAAGTTAATATTCTAAACTTCTAAAATTAATAAGTGTAAAGGTAATATGTGGCAAGTTAATCAATTAAGACGTACTTTGTTTTAAACAAAAAAAAAATGTTTTGTTTATATCAAGTTCAATATGCAATTTTCTAATTATTCTTCTTTCTTGTTCTTTTAGGCCTTTTTTAGAAATGGATAAATCTTAAAAAAAAACACCAGAAGAGGTAACATTCTATGAATTTGTATTTGCAGTCCAGAATAATTCACATACCCTTGTGCTGGTATGTGTCTATTGATAATATCTTAAAAAGGATTGAAAATAGATATATTATAAATGTCGAATTTAAATAAGACCTCCAAATCTAATTGCTTTAAAAAGAAACATGCGAGTCTTAGTAAGAAAAAAGGTAGGCGTTGTGCATGGCAGGAGTCATTTTTATCGATATCACAAATTTTAGCTATTAAATCCAATGTACTAGCTTGCGGTTTAACTGAAAATAATGGGAATGCATATCATTCACATTGAAAATTACCTATTAACATAATCTTAAACTGAAATATAAATAACAGCAGTGCATGGCAGAAATGGATATGGTAATCCTATTATACTAATATATAATATAAAGCACAATCAATTTTTAGCACATATATTATTACTATAACTGCATTGCATGATGCCTGCCTTTATCAATTCCCACCATATATAATGAAAATACAGTTAGTACCATATGTTCATTAGATTTTTATACTGTAATTTCAACATGTGCATGATTCTGCTAGAAAATACAAAATGACTCAAATTTAAATAAAATTTACTTTTGAAGCTGAAATAATAAGTTAGCTCTAAAATATAGTCACTTGCGATAGCAGAAGCAAAATTAATAATTTGAGAAAGTTTTATCCATACTATATCAATAAATTGCTATAAATTTTTGGATTATAATGAAGTATTGACGACTCTTAAATATATTATTTATATATTATAAATTTATTACATATAGCACTAGGCATTATACAATTTTTCTTTCTCCAATCACATATAAATTTAAATATAATTATCCTGATGGAAATTATGCTTAAGAGAGTTGGCTTAGTAAGCTTGTATATAATTAAGCAATATATATTTTTTTACACATGCATTTGATATTATTATTTGATTTTATTAATAATGAGTTAAATTTATTATTAAAATATGTATTTTATTTATGTAGTGCTGAGCATGTTTGTGGCAATGGATCAGAGAGCAGCACAAGATGCAGAGGAATTTTTTACTTCGGGAAGAACTGGTCGTAGAAATGCCATGGCTGATATATTAGGTATTCATGCAACAACAACTACTGCTGATATGCCTGAAAGACTGCAAGCTTTAACAACCAAAAGTACATCAGGTAAGATGAGTAAATGTAATATAATTTTAGAAATGCAATTTATGCAGGATTCATTCTATTAGAGCAAAACATATATAATGATTTTTATCTCTCATTTGTATATTGTTGAAATATATATTTTAGAGACAAGTGAAGATAATGTCTCTATGGAAACAAATACTTCATCTAGTCAAATTGCAGCAAACTCTGCAACTACATTAGGATCCAACCAACAAAATGTTTCAGACGAAACAATGTTAAAAGAAACTGCTTCAGATTCGAAAGATACGTCTGGAAATATATTAACAAAAAATTGAAATTTATTAAATTTGGCTTTAAACAAATCATGACCTAATAGACCTACTGTGTTTTATCATTTATGTACAAACTTGTATTACTCAGTGTATTATAAAAACTATTTCTGTAATAATAGAAATTATCAATATTGAACTATATGAAAAAGAACTGATTAGAAATATTTTTACAAAATTAACAATTATCATGAGACAAGTTTTATTTTATTTATTTGATTACAAATGCAGCTAGGTTAGCTTATATAAAAATCAATCTCATATGTATAAGGCAAAATTTATATCCAGTGATACAGTTCATCTAATTTGCATATAAATTGTTTATATTTAATATAAAACTTAATAGGGTATATATATATATACAAATATATATGTATATATATATTATTTATTGTAAATAATGTGTATTGGCCCTAATTTATTATGAACTGATTAGTTGATAATTTATAATATTTATTTATTTATTTGACTTTAATGGTAATATTTTTTTATTATTATTAAAATCCTTCAATGGATAGTTGATGATTTATAGTTTATTTAAAATCCATGTGATAAATTAATAGATATTACGATACGTAAATCCTTAGTTTCTGTATGGTTTTGAAACAAATCTGTTATTTTTATTTTGAATAATACCTTATTATGCAATTTGTTCAGAACATGTAACACTGCTACATATTTAATATCAGAATTTCTTTTGAAGATTGATTATCTTAATTATAAACATTTAATCTCATTTAGTTTTTATTAATAAAATAAAGAAATTAACAATGGCATTCCTGTAGTCAAATTGTGTTCTATTTTAATTGTTTAACTTTGCTATTAAAGTTGAACTAGTATAGCTAAACTTTTTGAATAAATTGCATAGAAACTTCATTGGTAAGAAAGTACTTTTTAAATATATTTTTTATATTATTCAAAGACCAAAAACAATAGCTACTTTAATATAAACTAATTTAAATAGAAGTAAGTTAATTCAATAATAAGACGGATCAATATTAGTAAATGTTTAAAAAATAAAATATGTGTCATGAATGGTCAATTAAAACGGTTTCTTTATTGATATGCCTGTATGTTTAAACATTTTGATATTACTCATAAATAAAATACTGTGTTTGTTGATTGAGACGATATTAGAGATAATTAGTAATAATTTGTTTCTTTTGTAATATGTTTTCATAAAATTGAGATCTTATTATTAATTTTTTTTAATTGAACTTATAACACAATGCAATTTGATTTGTCTTAATTTTCTCAATCAACTTTGTATAAAGTTGTAAGATTTTTCTTTTGTGTTCAACATTCAATATCATGGGCATAGTTAAGAAAATGCTTTTTAATGTTTTTATATTACTATGAAATAAATATATTTAATATTTTAAATTTCACAATTATTTTTTACATTAAATCTATAACATAGAAATTATATACAATTTTATATCAAGTATTGGAATAAGGTATGTATCAAGGTTATGGTTAATGCTACAATTTAGTATTTATTATTACAACTCTTTTTTTTTTCGATTATAGATAGTTCCAAGAATCCAGGACAACTTGCCTGTTCGGATTTTCTGCCTGCAAAAGACAATCCTGACACCTGTGTATCTTCTGAGTTTGGAACATTATAGTGGACTACCTTCAATGCAGACTTTAGGAAGGGCTAACAGGGCCTTCTAGAGTTTCACACAGACTCCATGCACACCTTGATTGTTTACACAAGCACCTATTGATGAAATTGATTTGAAGCAATCAGCTACATCGTGAATGAGGAAGATGAAATCTGAGCATGAATATTATGATGATACAGCAAGTTGCCTTTGTACCTTTGAAAAGAAGTGAAACGACAGTGTAATTATTTGAAGACTAGTTTTAGTTATATATGATACCCTTTGTATTGACTTTTATTAATTCAATTCAAATATTTCTTGTAAATCTTTATAGATTTTTTTATGAACCATTTGCAACTAAAATTTTTATACAACTAATGGTGTTCAATACAATACAAGATTATTGATGCATTATTGATTAATGATAATATAATAAGAGTGCCAGTATGTTCTGGCAAATAAAATTGTACACGGAATTCTAATCGTAACTTACTTATTTCTAAAATTCCAACTAAGATAGTTAAAATGTTGTATAATATTAATTATGTACTATCTTATTTATTTCTATTAGATACTGTTACTTACAGTTGTTAGTTTTCATTTTGTACTTAGCTTAAAGATCCATATTCATTTTATTAAGAAACAAAGCAATGAATAATGTATTCTAATTTCTGTTTTACAAGTTGAGTACAAAATATGACATGTATTTAATAGTCATTTAATAGACATTACAATTGCACAGTTTGTGCAATCGAATGCGATATGATAATAAGAAAAGAAATTATCTCTCAATTGTTGTTTATTGCATACAGGACAAATTATATATTAGTTTTAGAGTAATATATTTTATTTGCTAGTTATTATATACATAAATGTAATCTAATTTTTGCGTATAAGAACAATAAAATATTGTGAATTAATAAATTGAGTTTGTATTATTAAAATTAATGAAATGATTATATGTGAATAAACTGTTTTTTTTTCAGTTGATAATATTTAATAACATTCAAATTTTTATTTTAAACAATATTTCTTCGACGACCAGTGAAGAATGGTATAGAAATTGAGTATATAAATTTATATATTGATTTATACTTTATTAGATGTGTATATATTATAATTTATTTAAAACCGGGACCATAATTATATATCTAGTAGCGTATAAAGCGATATATACATGTATGTATTGATATTCCTTCAAATCCGGGATCATAATTAATATCTAATAGCATATAAAGCGATATATACATGTATATATTGATATTCCTTTAAAACCGTTATTATAATTATATATCTAATAGCGTATACAGCGATATATAAATGTATATATTGATATTTCTCCTAAGCCGGAACCATAATTATATATCTAATAGCGTATAAAGCAATATATAAATGTATATATTGATATTTCTCCTAAGCCGGAACTATAATTATATATCTAATAGCGTATAAAGCGATATATAAATGTATATATTGATATTCCTTCAAAACCGTTACTATAATTATATATCCAATAGCGTATAAAGCGATATATAAATGTATATATTGATATTTCTCCTAAGCCGGGACCATAATTATATATCCAATAGCGTATAAAGCGATATATAAATGTATATGTTGATATTCCTTCAAAACCGGGATCATAATTATATATCTAATAGCGTATAAAGCGATATATACATGTATATATTGATAATTCTGCTAAGCCGGGACCATAATTATATATCTAATAGCGTATAAAGCGATATATAAATGTATATGTTGATATTCCTTCAAAACCGGGATCATAATTATATATCTAATAGCGTATAAATCGATATATAAATGTATATATTGATATTTCTCCTAAGCCGAAACTACAATTATATATCTAATAGCGTATAAAGCGATATATAAATGTATATATTGATATTTCTCCTAAGCCGAAACTACAATTATATATCTAATAGCGTATAAAGCGATATATAAATGTATATATTGATATTTCTCTTAAGCCGGGACCATAATTATATATAATTTCGTATAAAGGAATCCACTAAGATTCCTATGTCCCTAAGGCGATTGCATGCAGCGCCTCTATGCAAAAATGTTCCCAATTCGTGAGGAACTACGTAGCGACATCATATAAATATAATTGCATATAAAGAAATCCAATAAGAATCCACTAAAATTCCTATGTTTCTCAGGAGATTGCATGCAGCGCCTCTATGTCAAATCGTTCATAATTTGTGAGGAACTACGTAGTGACTACCGGGTTCATATGGTTCTGTGTTAGATGGCGCCACCACAGAACTGTCAAACGTTTGACAGTTCTTCGACAAAAAGTAAATTCAAATCATACATTATTAGATGTTAGATGTGTACATTTATAAACAAATATGTAGTTTTATTTTTTATTTGTACTTAATTCCATGTGTGCATTTATAAACAAATATGCAGTTTTATCAAAAATCATCTTGTATTACATAAAAGAAAAGAAAGAAATCAAAAATATCCAGTACAAAGTGGTACAAATGCAAGTACAAATTGATTATAATTATATTTCAAATGAAATCATGTAGTTATATTATATTTTTTATGTTAATTTCTATTTTTATGTGTTTTTCTTAAACTAAGCTCTTGTTTGGTTTATAATAAAATTTAGATTATCTAGTGAAAATTTATATTATCTGTAGATATTATTTTGTTACAATTGTATATTCTTATTGCAGGTTATAACTCATAAAAAAAACAAGGAACATAAACATTTTAACTCAAATATGATTTGACTTATATTTAAATTCTAAACTGAAAAACAAGGATGATGAATAGAAGATCACAGTTTCGAGTAAGTTTTGTTGCATGCGAGATTTATTTTATTTAAGTGAAAACTGAAATATCCAACTGTGATTTATATTTTCCAAAAATTTACTAATTCAATCTAGTATATTAAACTTCAGTTTTAATCACATAAAATTACCAATAAATTATATTACATTTACAGTTTGTTTTTGTATCCTACGTAACTATACCAATTCATATATTTGACTTTTTGTTAGATACTTGTGAGTAATTGTACAAAAGCGCTTTTCACTCACAAGTATCTAACAAAAAGTCAAATATATGAATTGGTAAAGTTACGTAGGATACAAAAACAAACTGTAAATGGTACAGAAAGCAATTTAGGCGAATGTAGATGAATAAATTAAATGATTACAATCATTATCTTAATGAAAAAGTCATTCTTTCATTAAGATTCATATAGTAGTTTGAAGAACTGAATATCGAATATTGCTTTCTGACAAAACAACAGTTAGTTTTAATGAAATGATTATTGATGTTGATGTGCTTTGAAAAGTATATTAATTTCTATCATTAGAATACTAAAAACAACCTTTAGTTCTAAATATTTCATTAATA